TGAGGAGTGCATCTTTCATCCCCCCGGCCCTGAAAGATGAGAAGCGCACCTTTCATCCCCCCGCCCCGGCCCTGAAAGATGAGAAGTGCATCTTTCATCCCCCCGCCCCGGAACTGAAAGATGAGAAGTGCATCTTTCATCCCCCCACCCCAGCCCTGAAAGATGAGAAGCGCATCTTTCATCCCCCCGTCACGGCCCTGAAAGATGAGGAGTGCATCTTTCATCCCTGAAAGATAAGAAATGCATCTTTCATCCCCCCACCCCGGCCCTGAAAGATGAGGAGTGCATCCTTCATCCTTTCCCGGCCTTGAAAGATGAGAAATGCTTCTTTCATCCCCCCGCCCCGGCCCTGAAAGATGAGAAGTGCATCTTTCATCCCCCCACCCCGGCCGTGAAAGATGAGGAGTGCATCTTTCATCCCCCCACCCCGGGCCTGAAAGATGAGAAGCGCATCTTTCATCCCCCCGCCCTGGCCCTGAAAGATGAGAAGTGCATCTTTCATCCCCCCGCCCCACCCTGGCCCTGACAGATGAGGAGTTAATCTTTCATTCCCCCCACCCCGGCCCTGGCCCTGAAAGATGAGGAGTGCATCTTTCATTCCCACGGCCCTGAAAGATGAGGAGTGCATCTTTCATTCCCCCCACCCCAGCCCTGAAAGATGAGGAGTGCATCTTTCATCCCCCGGCCCCGGCCCTGAGGAGGTCATCTTTCATTCCCCCCACCCCGGCCCTGCAAGATGAGGAGTGCATGTATGAGGGGCGCATCTTTCATCCCCCTTGCCCCGGCCCTGAAAGATGAGGAGTGCATCTGTCATCCCCTCGCCCCGGCCCTGAAAGATGAGGAGCGCATCTTTCATGCCCCCACCCCGGCCCTGCAAGATGAGGAGTGCATCTTTCATCTGAAAGATGAAAAGTGCATCTCTCATCCCCCTGCCCCGGCCCTGAAAGATGAGAAGTGCATCTTTTATTCCCCCACCCTGGCCCTGAAAGATGAGAAGAGCATCTTTCATCTCCCCACGCCCCGCCCTGAAAGATGATCTTTCATCTTTTTGCCCCGGCCCTGAAAGATGAGAAGTGCATCTTTCATCCCCCAGCCCCGGCCCTGAAAGATGAGGAATGCATCTCAGCCCCGGCCCTGTGAGGAGTGCGTCTTTCATCCCCCCACCCCGGCCCTCTGCGGCCTACTCCAGCCCTGAAAAATGATTTTTCAACCCCGGCCCTGAAAGATCCCACCAGAAGATGCCCAACTGTAGGGTTGCCCAACTGGGTGCCCCAGCGCAGGGCCAACTTTGGGCTGCCTAATAATGCGACTCACAAGTGGCGGTGCCCCATAACTGGGCGGTGAGCTATAGGCGCCACTGCACAAGTGAGGTGGTCAACTGAACCTCGTACCCCCAAGCAGCATGGTCTTCAGCCATGTAAGTTCTAGGGCAGAGTGGGGTAGTTGAGTGGCTTTCATAAAGGAAGGCATGGTCTACCCCAACCAGAAACCTGGTTGTCATTGTGGCTGCATAGACGTGCCATCGCCTGCCACGGAGAAGCCAGCGCAGGCTCCATCCCCTCAAACAGCTGGCTGGGCGACGAGGTAGAAGTGGAGGATGCCAAGGACACCGTAGAGGCCTTAAACTGGGCGTGAGTGAAATCTGAAACCAAGTTCTTTCTGCAAACCAGCTGCGTTGCGCACCCGCTGCTGCAGTGCTTGAAGACTTTGCTCGATTTGCTCCTGGCGAGTTTCGGTTAAGGCTGCTGCGCAGTTCAGCCAGAAGTTGGCGGCGCACCCAACTGCACACGTATAGGTAGATTTCAAAAGCCGGAGACTTCTTGGAAATAAAGTAGACTTTCAGCCTCTCAGTTTCAGGTGCACAGTTTTGCTGTTCCGTTCTGTGTAAATGTCACAGATAAGTTCTGTGAAAGCCACCCAGCGGTCAACTGGCACACGCAGCTCCGCGGCAAAGGACTGCTTGGAACCTCCTCCAGGCGCCTCTCTGCGAGCCCTCAATGGCACCCGACTCCACAGCTGGTCCAAGATCTCTGCTTTGAGACTCCATATGTGTGGCTTCTAGTGAAGGCTAAAGGGCTCCAAGGGCTGAGATGCTGTGGAAGTGAAGCAGGTAGAGGAAAGATCTGCAGAGGAGGGCCAAATTATGAGTGGACTACTGTGGCTACCCAGCCATGCCGACGGCACGAGAAAGACGAGTATCAAAGTAAGCTGGGTTCCCGGGATCTGCTTACAAAGCATCAATGATGGGTTGCAAAATGTTTCCTATGACAGATGGGAGGCTCATGCGCGAGGTCGAAGATCTGCTTGGCTGCGGTCCCAAGGTTCTTGTTGAGGGCGCAGTGCTGGGAATTCATGGCATCAATGATCTGTCGCCCCCTTTGAGTTTACCTGGGAAGGTTGAGACACCACACTGCCACAAGATCAGCAGGGCGTAACCACTCCGGAGCAAGCCTTAGCAGCAGCTAATGCAAGATTGAAGAATCAACATGCCTTGACGATCCCGATCTCAGCAAATTTGGCCGCCTTGATGTTCGTTTCCTTGGCGGACCTCACGCAGGATCAAAGGCAAGTTCTCACATCGCTGATGGCTCACAGGAACGGAACACTCGCAGAATATCGGCTTGAGGGCGCGAAGTCTACCTGGAGGTCTTTTGCACTACCAAGACTTCCGTCGACAATCCTCTACTCGCTCCATCAGGAAATGCCGGCAGGAAGACCTTCCGCGTCATCGAGGAAGGATATCTAGAAAACTCAGAAGGTTTCTGGGTTGAAGATGAAGAAGACAGGGCCGAAGGATTCCTGGAGCTCGATGAGGACACCTTTTGGGTGTACGACGACGTCTCAGCAGCTTGGTTTCAAAGACGCTTCCAAGGTAGAAGGATGAGACGTGGCAAAGGTGAGGCCGTGGAGGCCACCGTTTCTTCAAGAAGAACAAGGGATTCTTGGCAGACATGGGATTGGCAGTCTTGGGACTACTAGGAGCCTGGCTGGGATGATCAATCCTGGCAAGAGCCCCAGCAAGACGAGTCCTATGCAGCCAAAGGCAAGGGAAACAAAGGAAAGAAGGGAAAAGGCAAGGGCAAGTGGAGCAAGGATGGCAAGGGAGACGGTAAAGACGGCCATGCTCACGTTGCCACTGATGCCTCACAACCTTCTTCCTCCTTTACGGCGACTAAGGCTTCGACCTTCTGCTGCACGCATAATCTTTCAGATCTTCCAGAAGTTCTCAGTGGAGAGTTGGTAAAGGCCCCAGAGCCTTCTATAGAAGCCTGTCTGATGGCCTCTCCAGATGACGAGATGTCCTATCTCGCACGTGCTCTGACTCCCACTTCCATGGTTTTGGACTTGGGTTGCAAAGAGCTATGACATCATGGAGAGCAGCTAAGGACCTCCTGAGCTTCTGCGATCAGTATCCTGATTGTGGACTTTGGTATAGGTTAGATCAAACTACTTCTCAGTTCACTTTTGCAAAGCCAGAATCTGCAAGTTGCAAGCAGAAAATTGTGGTTTGCATGTAGACAGAGACTATGCCATCCAATCCACAGAGTTTGACATTGTGGAACAAGGTGAAGTTCCTACCTTGATGTCACTTCCTCAGATGAGAAATCTTCGTTTTCAGTCTGATCTCCACCCTGACAAGGCCTACCTAAGCAGTCTTGGCATCAAGAACATGGTTTTGAAGGTCGCTCGTACTCACGTCCTCGTTGGGTCACAAACGAGGACATCAAAAAGGAACGCAATCCGGCAACTTTGAAGGCAAAGCATGACAGCCGGCGAGAAAGGCAGAGGGCGGCAAGGCGTGAAGATCCCGCTGGCCAAATCCGTGCAGATGCCGCACAAGAGCAGCCTGGAAAAGGGGCTGCGCCTGAGCCAAAAGGTAAGGGGAAGCCTAAGGGCCACTCCGATGATGCCGGCAAGGGCAAGTCCGGTGCCAAAGGCTCCACCGAGAAGGGCGAGACCAAGGGCAAGCACTACGGCAAGGGCAAAGGCAAGAAGTGAGCGCGGTTTGAGTGAAGGAATGCTTTCTACTTAGAAAGGGATCCTCATTACGCGGTCCTTCTCAGTTCGTTTTTCACGACGCCAAGGGAATGCATCAATTTTTGATGGTGTCCAGGCTTACTTGCTGTATATAGTGTCTGTCTAGAGATACTTCCAATTTTTGGAAGAAACTCGTAGCACTTGCCCAGGAGCCAAAAGAGAGAATGCTTCTGTATTCAGAAGGAATCTCAACAGGCACAGATTGAAACTGTGTGTTTTTAT